TTTTGCAAATTAGGAAGCAAATTTGAAAGCCATCCTGTAAAACTGCAGTTCCATGCGTATGTTTCACACTAAAAACTACTTTCATCTTGTTTTTATAACAGTTTAATCAAATGATTGAATTATATATTGTTTTTTTAGTTAGGTCATGTACTCTTTTCTTACAGATCGTATCCATGTCATAGATTGTCTTCCTAATGTATGGATATTGGATGGTAGACTCATAACTAGTAAGTTAGTTATTTCTCTTCTGAGTTACCAATAATACTTATTAACATTTTATAATTTTGCCTGCATTGTAGAAGGCTATACAAAATAAAAATTTCCTCAATGGCATCATCTCTGTCTCTATCTGAAGTTCTTTTTTTTGTGGTTGCATTAAAATTGTATTTATGGCAAAACTTTTGGCCAAAAATTGAATTTATAGCGATGGCGTGTAATACTGATCTAAATCATACACATTATTTCCTGGTGATGTTGGTTATTGACACGGTAAATATCTTGCAAATAACATAGTTGTAATAATAGTACATGTAATAGTAACATTATTTCCTGGTGATGTTGGTTATTGACACGGTAAATATCTTGCAAATAACATAGTTGTAATAATAGTACATGTAATAGTAACATTATTTCTTGGTGATGTTGGTTATTGGCACGGTAAATATCTTGCAAATAACATAGTTGTAATAATAGTACATGTAATAGTAACATTATTTCCTGGTGATGTTGGTTATTGGCACGGTAAATATCTTGCAAATAACATAGTTGTACCGGTAATAATAGTACATGTAATAGTAACATTATTTCCTGGTGATGTTGGTTATTGGCATGGTAAATATCTTGCAAATAACATAGTTGTAATAATAGTACATGTAATAGTAACATTATTTCCTGGTGATGTTGGTTATTGGCACGGTAAATATCTTGCAAATAACATAGTTGTAATAATAGTACATGTAATAGTAACATTATTTCCTGGTGATGTTGGTTATTGGCACGGTAAATATCTTGCAAATAACATAGTTGTAACTAATAGTACATGTAATAGTAACATTATTTCCTGGTGATGTTGGTTATTGGCACGGTAAATATCTTGCAAATAACATAGTTGTAATAATAGTACATGTAATAGTAACATTATTTCCTGGTGATGTTGGTTATTTGGCATGGTAAATATCTTGCAAATAACATAGTTGTAATAATAGTACATGTAATAGTAACATTTTTCTGGCAATACAACTTAAAGAAATTCAATAAAATCGTTTTCAAACTAGGATACAATTTATCAGTGAGTCTTTTTTTTTTGGACATAAATAAAACATGTTGTAGTTATTGACAACCAGATACATTTCTTTCTAAATACCAAGATTTCAATTTTTATGTCACTTATTTGAATTCATTATTAAACAGACAAAAAAAAACCATGACATGTCCTTGAACAAATAGGCCACACATTTGAAAAGAATGCCACATTACCCATTTGAACAGTAATTTGTTTATCAAGACCTGTACCCATTTGTAATATATGTCTATTTAGTCCATAATTAACAAGTGAATTATAAAAGAATAAATGAAAATGTTGAAGTAAGATGTTCTGTTTTCACAGCTGCAGAGAGAATACAAGTTGAACATTTCTTTCAAGACTCTGCACTTACAGACCATCCTGTGGTAAGCAGACACACATCAAACTATTTATATTTAATATCACAATTCAGTTATTTTTGTAAATTAATCAATTCAAGATATGTATTTATTTTATGATTGTTTTTTTATTTCTCAGAGACATAAATTTTCTAAAGAACAATTTATTCCATCTTCAATGAAGAAAATAGAAGTAAATGGTATATTTGGTGCAAAAGTGAGTAAATATTACCCAGTTGTGACAAACTGCAGCTTTTATTTTAAAAGGGATTAAATACTACTACTTGCGTCAGTGGACGACTCACTCAACAGTGGACATTACATTCTGTCTTGACCACACATGGTATTAGGTTTGATTGTGTCAGTGGACGACTCACTCAACAGTGGACATTACATTCTGTCTTGACCACACATAGTATTAGGTTTGATTGCGTCAGTGGACCACTCACTCAACAGTGGACATTACATTCTGTCTTGACCACACATAGTATTAGGTTTGATTGCGTCAGTGGACAACTCATTCAACAGTGGACATTACATTCTGTCTTGACCACACATGGTATTAGGTTTGATTGCGTCAGTGGACGACTCACTCAACAGTGGACATTACATTCTGTCTTGACCACACATAGTATTAGGTTTGATTGCGTCAGTGGACCACTCACTCAACAGTGGACATTACATTCTGTCTTGACCACACATAGTATTATGTTTGATTGCATCAGTGGACGAATCATTCAACAGTGGACATTACATTCTGTCTTGACCGCACATGGTATTAGGTTTGATTGCGTCAGTGGACCACTCACTCAACAGTGGACATTACATTCTGTCTTGACCACACATGGTATTAGCTTTGATTGCGTCAGTGGACGAATCATTCAACAGTGGACATTACATTCTGTCTTGACCGCACATGGTATTAGGTTTGATTGCGTCAGTGGACCACTCACTCAACAGTGGACATTACATTCTGTCTTGACCACACATGGTATTAGGTTTGATTGCGTCAGTGGACGAATCATTCAACAGTGGACATTACATTCTGTCTTGACC